GGGTAGATGGGGGGGTGACAGTCACATTTGACAGTTTGGGCCAAGGTCAAGTGAAATACAGGTGCTCCTCACTTGAAAACGAAAGAAAGTTCCTGAGGCCGCTTGTAAGTCAATAGTTTGCAAGTCCACCTTACTCTTGTAGATACCAAACATATTGTAAAAATGAAAAAGATTATGATATTTAGCACAGCCATACCCTTTAATACAGCCTTAAAACCTGGCTCATTCTTCTCCTCTTAGAATAATGCTTGTTCTATCTGAAATTTTCTTCAAAATATCCAGTCTCATCACATAAACACACCTGTTCTGGCAGGTAACCTCCTCAGTGATGATAATTGTATCCTCTGAAGTTTGTAAGTTGAATGTTCTAAGTAGAGGAGCACACCATATTTATTTGTTTATTTATGTCCTTCAGATTGAGTTTTTATTTATAAATGTCACCAGAAGCGACCGGGAGAATATAATTTACATTTGATTCTATAAGATAGTGATCAATTTGAAGATAAACATGACTAGAGTTTGCGACAGATTTTAGTAATCATTTAGTACATTATTTTGAGTACATGCTCACTAGCTTTGCCCTTAGGACAGTGAAGCGTGCCCAGAGAAATATTAGGCCGCAATTTAAATTATGATCGTCAGATTGCCTCCGCACAAAAATAGGAAAGATTCACTAAAATTAAAACATTGTCATAGTAGCGGTGTCGCTTTAAATCAATAATCTTAAATTGAATCTAAATCAACGTTCTACTGTAGTTTGTTCATTCTATTTCTTCTTTGGTCTTAAATTAAGTGATTTTAGATGTTTATAAGGACTTAGGCTATGATATAGTGGGATTTTAACAGTGTTCTGTAGTAATGGTATGCACACAACATGTGTTCGACTTGTGTACAAATCCGATTTAAGAATGTCTCAAAACCGGACCCGATTCGTAACCGAGGACCCCCTAGCATAGAAAAAAAGGTAGGTACAGTACTGTACAGTAGTTCAATCATTAGTTGCTACTACAGACAAGATTTTTTTTATATCCTCAAAACTGTCTTCTGTCCTAGAGAAGCTGTAGCTAAGATTTTTTTCCAAAACCTTTGGGGCTCCCTATAATCCTCTCACTTCCATAACAGAATAAATCCTGAGGTAACAACTTGTAGCTATACATGATAACAAAAGCTGGTTATACAATACTTGTACATTATACCTTTGAAAGTATGGATAAAGCTGTCCCATATCACTAATTTACAAACAGTAAACATTAAAAGCACATATAATTACAAGTACTGTATTTTAAGGCAAACCTGTATACTTAACACACACGGACAAATAAGACACACACCCCCATTTCAAGGAATATTTAGTAAAAAAAAATTTATGTATTTTCCTCCTGTAGAAAAATTTACTCTAAAATAATATACAGTATACAGTACCAGTAAATGTGAGGAATAAATAAAAAAAATTATCGAAATAAGTTAAAAATACTGTAAATACTATTGCCATTTGGCTACTAACCATATGAATTATTTATCTTTTATTTTTTGTACATTCTGCATTAAGATTGAGTGTGCATGTAACATGGTAACAAAAATATGTATCTACTCTAAATTACAAGTAAAAAAATACTGTAATCATAACATAGCTCACAGTTTGGCTGGGGTGGTACAGTAAGTCTGCATAACGTTGTCTGCTTAGCGTTGTTTAGGTATTAATTCGCTAACTTTAAGACTAAAAATTAGTTAACGTCGGTGATCACAAAAGTCGTTTTCATGCGTCTGAGACTACATTTCTGATTGCATCACCCTTTGTCTGGCCGCACACTATGCTCTCTCGGCAAGCAGAGTCTCAGTGACACCCTCCTCCTCCGCTCCGCCATCCGCCTCCTCTGCTTCACCCACCACACACTCTCTCTACCACCTCCGCCCATCGGTGAGTACCAATACAAACTTGGTAGTCTTATATGTATGCACTATTTTCTATAGAAATGGCATTGATTTTCTGTATATGTAATATATTTTATGGGGCAAAAGCGAGGCTCAGGAGCGTAACTTGACGTTAAGCCAGGACTTACTGCCTACGGATGTGGCTGTAGTAATGAGTCTTGTATTACTAATACAAATGCAAAACTGATATAAAATATTGAAAAACAAATTACTACAGTAAAAAATTTAAAGTGCAGGGAATATTATCACAGATGTAAATTAAAGGCCTACATAGTAATCAAAAGGCTGAAACAAACTCACACCTCCCTATCTCTTTTCATAGCATTCATAAACCATATTACCTACCTTGCTATGTTATTTTACAATTGTGCTACTTAAATAAAAGGGGGTTACGTATATCTACCGAAAATACAAGTATGATAATGGAATATAATGTCCAACATTCAAAAGAAATACTGTACTATACTGTAATCAGGTACAAAACATTGTATTGTATTTAGTATCTATGGTTCAAGTTTGCTCAATCATGGATTTTTAGGGTATAAAGCTTGAGTCAGATTTGTAACTTTTGAGGTTACGCACCAGTTGACCAGTAAATAAAGTTAATTTCAAGCCCTAAAATTTGTTTGTGCTTATTTGCATCTACCTGTACAATCATTTATGAATATTAGATTCCATCACAAATGAAAAGTTCAGAAATATGTTACTGGTACAGTACTTATGGTTATCTTACCAAAATTGTGTGGAGCTAGAAGATAGGACCCCTGGCTGGATTTTCCAGTAGGTAGCAATGGTATGGAGGTGACAGTATCTCTGATCACATTAGTTCAGGCTCATTGCTCCCTGCCCCTCTGTGCTATAATATTGAAAAACCATTGAGTATGAGTAGTTTGTGAGCACTACACTTTAAATATTTAATTACAGTTCTGTAATATCTTCGTTAGCTAGAATCCTCAAACCTGGAACTTTCTGATAGCCAGAATTGAAATTTACTCGGTCATTCTCAGGCGAATTTTCCGAAAATTCTATTTAGGAACGATTTTCTGGGGGGTCATTTCTGAAAAATTCCATAAAATTCCAGGGATGGAGAAGTTTTCGGGTTTGAGAGATGAAATTGGGCACATTTTCTGGAAATTAAAATTCCAGTACTACCCAGAAATTCTGGGGATGGGGAATATTTTTCGGGTTCAAGAGATGATGTAATGGACAATTTCTGGAACTTCGAGAACATTTTACCGTTCCCCGAAAAATTCTGGGGCTAGGGATTTTTCGGCTCTGAGAAAGTCGTCTAGTTACCCAGAAATCTCTCATTCCATAAGTGCTCTGCACCAATTGTTGGTTGAATTTTACATGACTTTGTATGCTAATGGACAAAAAGGCTCTTTTAAGTTGCTGGAAAAATTTTCACTCACAAAGGTTCTCAAACTCTCTCATTTTTGTAAAATACTGTACAGGGGTCCCCCAAGTTTGCGGATTTTTATTCCACGGTCTTCTATTATTCACGGATGACACCCTGGATGTACCCAAGAATGTCTGTGGGTAATTTTAAAGTTCCCGGCATTTTGCGGCTGGGACAAGGAGCCATTTGTTCTAGAGATAGTAATTTCCTTTACTTGTACAGTGACCCTCGTTTATACGCGCCTCGGTTAAGAATTTTCGGTTAACGAACTGCCTCCCATAAGGATCTTCAATTAGGTTAACGAACAAAAATTAGGTTAGCAATTTCTTCACAGTGAACCTCAACATGTTTTAGCACTGACCAGACGGCCGCTTTAGTATCAGTCCGCCAATACATTAATCGATTCTAGGGCTTAAATTCCTTACTATTTAGTAAATATCCAAAAAGTTTATACTATTCAATAATTTTAAAAGTTTAATATTCAATTTTTAGTCATTTTAACAATTATTGAACATAATTGAAAGTAAAGTGACTAGTTTAATGCGCGGTAACCAGCCTCTTAACACAGCAAACAGGCGTTAGTCTCTCTCTCTGTTTTCACTGGAGGTAACATCTTGCTTGAGACTCTCACTAAACTAAGCGCTTTTTCTGTGTTTCCAAGCAAATTATTGGTCATTTTGAAATATATTTTACATATTGACAATATATAATGCAGTGCAGTGTTGATTTAAGAAAATAATCTTGAATTACACCAAGAGCTAAATTTTATGGGTGAAATGGCACCATGGGGTGACTTCTCTTCCACCCAATGTCTTCTCTTCTTCCTTCTCCACCCCATTCTAAATCCCATCATTATCATCATCATCCAGGAGCCTTCTACATACACACCTCAAAGTAAGTGAACTTTCTACCATTTTGTTGAATTTAGGAAATTTCTGTGAGCTGGAACCAATCCAAAACCCATTGAAACAATGGTTTCAGTTAAACGAACTTTTGGTTAACGAACGACCTTCTGGAGCGGATTGAGTTCGTTAACCGAGATCACTGTATTGTAAATGTGTGTGTGTGTGTGTGTGTGTGTGTGTGTGTGTGTGTGTGTGTGTGTGTGTGTAGACACGCACACAAAACAATACAAATAAATAATAATGGGAAAATAGTCTCACAAATAATCAGAAACAAATTTATTTAAATGTGACAGTCTACCCTCAAGTCCGTGCTTGTGCAATGACACGGACTTGAGTACTATTGAACATTTCTGATTATTTATTTCCATTATTATTTGTATATGTTTAATGTGTGTGTGTCTACACACACTACTGATACATATACAATACAGGTAAAAAGAAATAATTGTCTAGGGCAAACACATAGAGGAAATATACATTTCTAGTAAAAATCCCCCCAGTCCGTAAATGTTATTAGCGGATTTGGTTCACGGCTATTTTGAGAATCTAACCCCTTGAATTTGGGGGCTCCTGTACCAGTATGTTGTGTATGTGTGAGGTTGCTGCATTCACTTGGTGGATTTCCATATTAACCCAGAAAGTTTTACAGGTATTCCTCTTGGGGAACAGTGTGCCAAAGCATAGTCATGTTACGTTACTTAAATGTCATAAAGAAAAGTGTGCAGGTAACAGGTATAGTACTTATAACAAGGGGCAGCTCTTAC